TTTGTGGCCATACCAACACATTTTTTATCATTCTATTTTATCCACAATATTTTGTTTTTGCTATCAAATCTATGATCATAGGATCCTAGAGGTAATTTTTCTAGGTCTTTTGTTGGTGGCAATGGACATTTTGCAGTCTTATTTTCTCTGATAGTACTTATTGCATATACTTGCATTTCTTTTAATTGACGAAATAAGGCATGGTTACTAAAAAATGTATCAAGATATAAGCAACAACTTTTTGGACTTTTTACTGCAGTTAGCAATTTCAAAACAACTCTAGTGCCAAGAGGTACTGTTTCTTTCCGCAAGGAAAGAAACCAGGAAAAAAGAAATAGCAATATCCATCTTTACCACAAAGTGCCCAGAGTTTGTAACCAAATCGTGTTGTCTTACGCTTTATGAACTGTTTTAGTGAGTGGTGGCCTTAATACCTTATAATCATTTCATCTATAGACAGATTTTCTTGAAAAATACCAAAGTTTTGAAAATTTGCATTTACCATATCTAACAATGGTCTAATTTTAAAAAATGTATCGCCTCACTTTCATTAGCTTTGGTATTATTTTGAAAATGTATCAAAGACTTTATTTCAAGATTTGTATTTTTCCTCATAGCATTTTTCACAATAGGCTGTCCGAAACTGTCGTCGTGTGACCAATAATCGCGCTCAGAGGGTAACATATGGTAGCTGCTAAATACAAGAAAGGAAATAGAAATTTTAGTCTCATCTTTTGTAAACAACCAAAACGGACTTTTGAGGCGCGCAAAGTGTATTCCAAAAACATGTTACTCTTGGTTATGTGGAGATATTGTTGAACGACATAGGCACTAACGATATACTCCACTGAAGTCCCAATATTCCTCCACTTCCTTCTTTATATGCAACACAGAAAATTAATATAATCAATTTCTTTCTCTTGAACTAAAATTAGAACTAACACTAGAAACTTTCGGGTTTTGCCGTGTATCTTTTGAGAAAAGGTTTGACGTTTCGGATGCCATGTTGCAACCTTCTTCAAAAAGCAGCTTTCCCCGCTGTTTTGAAAATTGATGAAAATACTTAGAACTGTGTTCTATTATGTGGTAGAATTTGGCGTAATTCGAAGGCGCCCATCAGAGTGAAAACATCCCTTTTTCGGAGGTGGGGGTTGAAAATTTTTTTTTTACCAAATGCGTGTTGTAAGCTGTTCTTGAGGGTAAGACTGTCCTGTATGTGAAATTTGGTGACCCAAATCGTATTGATTACGGAAGTAAGAATGATTTAAGTTTATGGCTGGGATTTATAAATAACTTCACACCAGTAAATTTCTTTTAATAATTCTTATTTATAGATAAAAATCTTTTTGTATTGGTCTTTATGCATATCAGCAGCCGTTTACACCTTAATCAAACAAATTAGTGGTGCTCAAAAAGCATCATCAGTCGTGAGAAAAACATTCCACATCTTAGCAGTTTTAATTTATGTACCGGGATTATTAGCGGAATGTTCGATTCTTTATTTAGCAAGTGGGGTCGTTTTGGGACTTTTTATAGGAATCGAAGTAAATTAATATATTAAATGCGTTTATTTATACTAAAATTGATTTTTTTAGACGACTCGTTTGATAAGGTTACCTCAAGTGGTAACTTTCCTCGAAGATGGTTTTTCCGTTTTTCGCGATGAAAAAGACATTGGATCCGTCGCTTTAACACCAATGTATTTATTAGCGGGGGTTTCATTTCCGATTTGGATACATCCTTCTCCGTGCGATATGACAAATTCAGCTGGATTTAATTTATTACCGCTTTTAAGTGGGATTTTATCAATTGGTGTTGGAGATTCGGCCGCTAGTTATTTGGGTGCATGGATTGGTAAACATAAATGGAAAGGTAAAAATGAAGTTTTTAATTTGACATTTAAGAAGAAATCTACTTTACCGACATTTTTGAAATCATTTATTTTAGGGTCATTTAAAACGATTGAAGGGACGATGGGTTGTGTTTTAAGTCAAGTATTATTTATCTACCTCTTAATGCATTTGGGTAAATTGTTTATGATTATAATTGTGTTGTTTTTGAGGTTGTAAATTTGTAGGTTATGTTGATATGCATTTAAATACATTGATAAAAGTTGGATTGGCGATAACTGTAACGTCTGTTGTTGAGGCAAAAACGACTCAAGTTGATAATTTGGTTCTTCCCATGGTGATGTATTTAATGCTGGTTTAAAAAATTTGACATAGAATGGATTTTTTGATCCCGTTAAAATGTATTGACTGATAAATACCAAAAACAAGGACTTATTTATTTTTAGGGTGGTTTTAACGTATTTATTGAGTACTTTAATAAGTAATTAATTAAGGGAATTTGATATGGATCGAATAATTGAGTTGCGAATCAATTTAATCAAATTTATTAAATAAATTAATCTATTTACATTAAAATTAAAAATATCAGGGTATTTTCTGAGGTTTCTTTCCGATATTTTCCGCCTCCTCAATAGTATCTGGTANCATGCTACGGCAGCCGCTAAAACTTCTCCTAAAGCGAAACAACAACAAATTAATGTTCCTGCTAATACACGTTTTTTTGGGCCAACTAATTCAACGGCTAAAACAAACCCGGTTGCGTAAGTCCCCGATTGGAATAGGGCGTCTAAAAATTCGAGCGTCGTGAAAACGATGTAGTTTGGAGCGAAAGCTCTGGCAGTTCCAAAAATTGCACCTCCAACCATTCCCCATATTAATACAAATTTTCTTCCTAATCTAAATCATAATGAAGATGATAATATTCTTTTTTTTTGTTTGAGGTTTTTTTTATACTTGTCTGAAACGATTCCGCTAATAATTAAGGAAAAGAATTGTCCCAAAGTATTGATTGTCCCAACGAGAGTTAATTTCCATAAATTGTCATCGCAAAATAGATTGTACTAAAAATAAAGAAATTATTTTGTTTTAGTTTGATGAAAAATATACAATAATCTAACGGCAAATTACAACTAAAATAGAACTAACACTAGCACTAGAACTAACACTAGATCTAGAAATACAATAGGTTTTGGTTTAGCCGCACGTTTCTTAAGACGGCTAGGTTTAGTGTTAGTTCTACTTTTCGTTCGTAAAAATGTACCACAATTTAACGCTAAATAACGCTAAACCCGAATGATTCTAGTTCTAGATCTTGTGTTAGTTCTAGTGATAGTGTTAGTGTAAAACTAGAACCAACACTAGACCTAGAACTAGAAACATTCGGGTATAGCCGTGACTCTGAAGACGCACGGCTAAACCCGATACTTTCTAGTTGTAGCTCTAGTGTTAGTTCTAGTTTTAGTGCAATAAAAATATGCAACATAGTGATATCTTATGCTAACTAGCGCTACCTACCACTGTCACTAGAACTAACATTGGACCTAGAAACATTCAGGTTTAGCCGTCTTAATAGACGAACGGAAAAACCCGAATGTTTGTGGTTCTAGGTCTCGTGTTAGTTCTACTTTTCTTTCCATAAAAATATACCACAATCTAACGCTAAATAACAACTAAAACTAGAACTAACACTAGAGCTTGAACTAGAAGCATTCGGGTTTAGCCGCACATCTCTCAAGATGGCTAAACCCGAATGATTCTAGTTTTAGGTCTAGTGTTAGTCCTAGTGATGGTGCTAGTGTAAAACTAGATATACAACTAGAAACATTCGGCTAGAAATGCGTCTCTTAAGACGGTTAAAGAGGGACCAAAATGGAAACCATCATCACAGAATCTATAAATTCAGACCAAATATGTATGTAACAACATTTTACCTCCCCTTCTTTTCACTTACAAAAAAAAACATAAATATTGTTTTATTATTACAGCAACTCGTACATCCGTTTTGAAAAATGTTCCCACCGACAGCGAAGACTGCATCAAATTTTACAGATGCGCGCCGAAGGAATCCGAAAGTTATCATCAATATTCATACAGGGTTGTTTATGTAAGTCGTGGCATAATTTTAATCATAAATACTGGAGTGAAAATGATGATTCGTGTACAAATTTCTGATCTAAACCCATAAATAGCTAACAATAAAATATGGGCCTTCAAAGTTAAGAAATTTTTAAACATTTTCTTAAATATTTTCAATATGGTTTGTCTTAGAAAAACTAAATTTGGCAAACAGTGCAATGTTATATAAGAAATCGTTTAAGATCACAATTGAAAATAACGCACCACGGGATCAAGGCTGTACAGGTGTTCACAATGGTTATTTCTTTAAAATTTGTTTATTATGTCATAAACCCGTAAAGTTTCCAACTGATTCCAAAAGCCTATTTCATTTTTAAATTATTTCACTCTTACAAATTTTTGATTAGACGCATCGTTTTCTAGATATAGTAGAAACCACGAAAGCTGGCAGTGACAGATCGCTTAAAAATAGTATGAATCAAGATATGGACGTACGACTTAGATTATTTCACCACATACATTTAAATGTAGGTTATGTTAGTAATGGAGATTATATGTCAAACATTGTCAAATATATTATTTAATTGATTTTCCTTTCAAAGAATTCATGACAACGCTCAAAACACGTTTTGATTTGAGGTTATAATTATATAGTTACATCCATTAGAAGAACAGACGTACTTTTTCGACGTGGCTATTTGAATTGTACAGCAGACATATTAAACTAATGCTATTTCTTTCTAACACACATTACTCTCTAGCGGTTTGTGAACCATTTGTAAGAGCGGAAAACGATGATTTACTGCCAGCTCTCGTGGCGTCTACTATATTTGCGAAAGATACAACCTCGATTTTGGAATGTTTTCATTAATTATAAGTATAGACAACCTGATAGAAAAACATTTCTGAATATCAAAAGACATTTACGTGAGACAGGAAATTTAAGACAGAAGTATGTAAATAACGGGAATCAGAAGTCAGTTCGTACACCCTAACTAGAAGAAAACATTTTGGGTTTTGTGGCAGATCGTAGTACTGCTAGTACTGTTGATAGCAACAGTTTAGACATTTCAGAATATCCAAAGGTACATCTGGGCATGTCTTACATGAACGGCAGTTGTATTTATACCATTTGTTGAGAGTACAAGTGGTACAGAAATTGCTGATCATCCGTTGCAAGCACAGTGTTGCCACACTATGATGGAACAAATGTACTATTGTTGCTGCGTTTTTAGCAAAAGGTACTTTTTACGGATAACCATTAACTTGAGAAATGCTAAACAATAATTGTACTGAAGAAAATCCAGATTTTATAATTTTATATATTTAGAGATTTTATACAGTATGTCCCCGGATCGAGTTACAAAGAGGAAAAAAGATTTTATTACTGATTTTTCAAACTTATTTCAGCATAAATAATGCGTCGGATATGTTCAAACCACTAAATCGCACGAATTTTATACTTTAACTATAGAAGTTAACTAATTATTCCCATTTTTATGTAAAAATTGGACTTTTTTCAAAATTGAAAAATTTTCATTTCAATTTATGATATGTAACCATAGAAACCGTAAAAGTTACAACTTATGTTAGTGAAAAATATACGGACAAATCAAATTAAAATATGGCTAAATAATTGAATAAAATATTTTAAATGTAAATGTATGTAATAACACACTATGTAAGTTTGTAAGTGAACAAATCAACTATTCGGCACACATTTGAAGACAAGTTCTAAATTCTTTGAAAGAATTACGAATTTCCGCCAGTGGTAGAGATTCTATCGCATTAATTATTCTTAGTTTTAATAGTTCTGCATCGCCCTGTAATAGTTCACTGTAAACAATTTGCTTCAATCGTTCCCAAAAATAAAAATCCATAATTGTAAGATCAGGACTATGTGCTGGTCATAAAATAGGACCATTTGGTCACAATGTATGATGGTGAGCTAGGTAGCCGTCTCGCTGAAAGTAAATTGACCCTATAAAATTTAAGGTAATTCATCAAGTTGCTCATTAAAATAATTTTGTAACATATCCAAATATTTCTGTTCATTTACATTTCCGTCGAAGAAATATGGCCCAATTACCCCGTGATATGTTATAGCACACCACACATTTACTTTTTTGAAATGTTGACTTCGTCTAGAGAGTGTAGAATTTGGATTTACATCACTCTTCTAAGGTTACATATCATAATTTGAACTTTGAAAAATTTTTAGTTTAGAAAAAAGGTCAAATTTTTACATAAAAATGGGAGTAATTAGTTAACTTCTATAGTTATAGTATAAAATTCGTGCGATTTAGTGGTTTGAAATAATCCGACGCATAATTTATGCTGAGATAAGTTTGAAAATTCAGTAATAAAAATTTTTTTCCTCTTTGTAACTCGATCCGGGGACATAGTGTATACAGGACGTTGACATTTAAAGCTGTCAACGGCGTTATTTCGGCGCCTACTTTGATTGTAATTTGCTGATTTAAAGAACAATGTAAACAAGCAAGTATCGCCAAAAAATGCGCCACAATTAATAAAAAAAAATTTATTTGAAACATTTTTCTTTAAAATCACAAATGGCGAAATTATGGGCTATACTCAGTTATTAATATCGTTTCCTCACACCGAGACTAATGTTGCTGCTGTCAAAATAAATTCTGATGTGCAATCACTTGTTGACACTTCTGAGGCGCATGGCTTAAAAGTAAACTCCAGCAAATCTAATGTGATAGTATTTGTACAGGAATCATAGGAAATTTGTTAATGACAATCTTAAAATTTGTGTAAATAATCAAGAACTACAACATGTACGCACTGTGAAAAATTTGGGTTTGTTAATAGATGATGATTTAAAATTTAATTCACATATAAATAAGCTATTACAGAAATCATATTGCGTATTAACATCCCTTTATCCATATCGGCATGTATTAAATGAGAACAGTAAGAGATTACTGACTGATTCTCTGATTTTATCCAAAGTGGGTGCTTAAGACTAATTTATAGAATTCGAAAGTACTGCAGACTCTCACATAAGTTAAAAGAGTGTGGGTGGCTAAATATGTATATTAGGATCATTTTTCACAGGTGAGTAGTTTATTTTAAAATTTTAAATAAAAAGCACCTGTTTATCTCAGCAAGAAGAATTGACTTATTGTGTGACAAACTTTTAAAATACCCTTCCTCGTTCATTAAAAATATTGAACCTGTCGAGTTTTAAATACAAATACAAGCGATATCTCTGTGAGCGACAGATGGAATCAATTTAGGTTTTCTAGAGTAAAATTTAAATTTTTATTTGCTTTAATTGTTATTCATGCATTCAATTAACTACTTACTTACAAGCAATATGTTGTGTTTATGGGGACTGGGGGAAGAGCAGACCTCACTACTTTGTGATGTTGTCTGACCCAGCCACCTGTTAGCCTTTGCAATTTTGTTTTTTTTTTGTTTTTGTAACTTTATACTTATTTTTTATTATTATTACGTTTTTGTATTTTGTTTTTTTTTTACTTGTACGCTAATTGTAAGGGTTAATAAAGGCATTTGACACACCCTGTATATTATCTAATCAAAAATTTGTAAGAGTAAAAATAATTTAAAATGAAATAGGCTTTTAGAATCAGTTGGAAAATTTAATAGTTTACGACATAATAAAAAAGTTTTAATGAAATAACCTTTGTGAACGCCCTATATAGCATTGATCCCGTGTTTGTACATTTTCAAAAGTGATCTTATACGATTTCTCACGATAACATTGGACTGCTTGCAAAATTTTAACCTTCCAAGACAAACAATATTGAAAATATTTAAGAAAATGTTTAAACATTTTTTAACTTTGATGGCATATATCTTAGCCATTTATGGATTTAGACCAAAAAATTTTATACGAATCATCATCATTTTGACTCTAGTATTTGTGATTAAAATTATGCCACGATTTACAGAAACTCCCCTGTATAATTGCGCTCCGGGTACTATTTGGGAC